GTCTTAGGCCGCATTTAAGGAGAAGGTTCTTTCATTTTGCTTCTCGGCAGCGAAATGAGCCGAGGCTACGACTTAATAATAAATTACGAACTACGCCATCGTCCTTGTCTAGCTGACGCTATTATTACCTTTGTAAAGAAATAATTTAGTCAGATTTATCCGCAGAACAAATTGCATTTGTATTCGGAAGAAATTTATACCGGGAGAGGCGTTTCTATTCTCATGCCGTTCGTCGCTCGGGTCATTCGAAAATTGTTTCGAGAAATCGGAAAACAACGCGTATCGGAAAGCCGTGAAATTTTTCGTGAGTAAATTTGCGCGAACCGGTCTCTCTCTCTCTCTCTCTTTTTCTGTACCGACGCGAAATGACTTTTTGAAGCGGCCACGAGCTGTGAAATCGGGCCATTAGATTGTAAGTCTCCTTGGAAGTTGAACTATGCAATTTTCCTGCAACACCGGACAATCCCGCATCGTCATTCTCATTATTTCATCGTTGCATTACCGCAAGGACATGTCGCACACGTTGCTCCGCAATAATATTATAGCTGCAACTGGGACATTTCGAGGCTTCATCGGGCTTAAAGGATTGTTCCAGCTACACATGTTCAAGCCACAGCTTTCAATCGCGACGGCAATCGATAGCACTCTTCTAAATATAAGCGACTATTCTCGGAACTACGTGTATGCGCCGGCAATCGAATATTAAAAATTGCCGGGAGTTAGAAATCGTGCGATTGCGTAAATTAAATAAAGTGTCTATTGGCCAATCAACTGTTCAATTTTCATTTAATTTGCGACTCGCAAAGATACATGAGCTAACGCAATTGAGTCGAGAATTGCGACAATTTTAAAAGATTTCAGAATTCTATGGACGAATACAAATTTTCGTGTAATATTCATCGATTTTCTCGAAATTCCACTCTCTATTTTTGCTAGATTAAAAATGACGTGCTTATTACATATGCAATCGATCTAAAAATAGAAACGACGTAGAAAATTGTCAATCCACCGGTGTCCTATGTCAATTTTTTCCATCGATGACACATATATAGATGTACGTATGTGTCCGGCAATCGGTCGTTCAACGGATGCTTTGTAATTGCATTACAAATTACGTAACGCGATAGGGAGATGATTAACGTTCTGGGACGAGAAGAGAATAAATCTGCTTTCCCGTTTCTTACACTAAATGCAAGAAACTCACAATTAGCAAATCGATATAAATAATACCATGTCGCCTTTATGCAACAGTGAATGCTATGAAGTAATATCGCGATAATATCGTACCAATAAATCAACCTTTTCAGGATTGAGAACGTGATATATGACATTCTTATGAAATAACTTATTACTATGTCGATAATTTTTTATGTCGGCAATTTTTTCCCAATAAGTAACGTTAATTTAATTTAATCTTCAGTTCTATTGCATAGTATTAAGGTTACTATTATTTTCTCATGACTAAGTAAAAGTTAATTATATACGGCTAGCTTTTAATTGGAGTCAGGAATCTTACTGTGACATAAAAAATTGCAGTCTTTATAAAGTCAGATAGGACAGTTTATAAAAATGATACGTATGAATGAACATTAACAAAGTATTATATATGAGTGACATTATATATGAGTTATACATGATTGAGTCGTGACTAGTAATATCTTATTTATATGCGTGTAAAAAAATGATTAAGGTAATCGATGCAAAAATATGTATGCATTTTTTTCGAAACGCATTCAACGGGTATTCCGCGCAAGACTCGCATGTCTGACAAAGCGCCTCGTTCTCCCTTAAGAAGAGACACAAAGTTTAAATTGGAGAATTTTAAATTGGAGAATTACGCGCACGCAATTTTTTATATGACGTCACTGCGCGTCACTGCATATCACGATAACTATTGCCGAGTTGTCTTAAAAAAAGACTAGGACGCCGCAGTCACCAGTCGCAATCGCCAGTCTCCCTATGCAATGACACTTGCTCAATTTGACATCCATGATACGTTGCGTCCGGCGCTCGTTATTTGCGGGGAACCTTGTTCGCAAACGTCAGATACGCATTACGCAACGCGTATCGCAATTCTCTTTCTCCTTTTCCTCTCGATAGTGAAACGCAACCGCGAAAGTATGCTAAGTGTCATATAGCTTTGGCACCAACTCCAAACGGCCGGTCGCCAATTTTTTTTCCTGACGGACGCAAATTGGAAAACTTGCCGCGAAAGAGAAAAAGGGGAGAGGCCGCGCTACCCTCGGACTTGTTCCGCGTGCTTTCCGTGCGATGCATACCGTATCTACGTGCAAACTTCGCTCTCCCCTACTCTTCCAAATTGAGGAATATTAAGTCTGAGGTAAGATCGAAGTTGTTAACGCTTAAACCAAGTTAAATTGAAAGCGTTTGTAAGCGTTCGATAGACTTCTCAATTAAGTTTGCGCGCTAGATTGTCTTGCGGTCGGTTATATATTTTGATCTCTCGTCAAATCTCGTGAAACACCACGTGTACGTATATGAATTACTTAGGTGAATCGAGCTTTCTCGTTTTTTGCAAAGAGAACATATCATCTTCATTCATCTAATCGAGTGTATGACAGCGTCAAGTACATATCCCACGATTACATAATGGCAAAAAATCTCACGATATTAATTCATTGCCACGGTGTTCATGTACTCGCGAGCTACGATGTCGCTCGTATATCCACGTATAACCGTCAGGTGTTCACGTGCGTAACACACTTTCCGCACTTTCTTTCTCCGTTGCACCGCTTACATAATCGGCCGATGTTTCTCAATCGCGTAATATAAATAATCGAGTATGTCTCTCGACGATATCGTTCCCCACTTATCGTGTCGATTGAACGGCGACTCGTCTAAAGGTGTAACTTTCGATCGTGCAACAGAATCGAGGCAGAAAAAAGTCTACGAGACTTTCTCGAAAGGCCAGGATCCGTTTACGTGCCTCCTTTCCACAGGCGAAGCCCATTAACGAAGCCCAAACTTTGGATTATATTCCAAAGTTCGACTGTAATCCAGAATTAGCCCGAGCTCCTGCTTTCTCCCGCACGTCATAGACATAACTTCTGTCGCGGATCGAACTTTTCGAAAGCCGTAGCTGCAATATACGCGATCAGCAGTGTTATATATTCCTCGGTAGTCTCTTTCAGTTCAACACAGTTTGCATCTGGTTATGTGGAACTTAAACTAGATTCCTAGTTATAGATTTTAGGTAGGGATGTATAATTCATTCGTAGTTTAGTTTTAATCTGTTTACGCAACATCTATTCAAATTGAGAATTTCCACTAACTCCATTTGCATCAATTAACATATGTGTAGAATATGTTATTGTTATCAATATTAATCCACAACCATATATATATATAAATTTATGGAGAAAATTCCTTTTTTTTTAATAACTGGTGATGTTTTATTAAAAAATATAAATTTCTTTACGGGAATAAAAAAATTTCTGAAAACACAAAATTGAACATTGTATATAACGTTCTAGGATTTACTAGAGACATTTTTAAGGATTATCTTCGCTGCACGATCCTAGGGCTTTATTTTCTACGAAAGTTATAAGAAAGATTGTGTAATTAATTATTGTTAGAACTCACCACATATGACGGTACGCGTCTAATTAGGACGTATCTTTTCTATCACATCGTACGTTAATTTAAGTAGACTTTATCTTATAGACATCGGAGCAAACTATCCACGAAAATAAATTTATTTTCAATCGCGTCGCGTATAATATGCGATTGTAAAGTTTTTGCATCAGTCGCATAACTGTATTAAACAGGAAACATGCAATTATGACTTCGGTAAATACGAATCGTTTCGTGTTTATTTTCAAGTGAATGTATAAGCATGAATATCTCACAATTCTCGCTCGGATATTGCAAATCAACACGTAGTAATCGATAGATGGCCATTGAAATTTTCCATATATTTCTATCGTTTATTTTCATCATAGATGAAAGCGCAAAATATACCTTGTAAAAAATCGATAAAGCGAAACTGCATAACGTTGCATGCAACGAAGTAAATAAAGCTTTTAGAATACACTCGGATGTTGAATATCGATATAAATATTCCGGACTTGGTTTGTTTTTTTATTGAATAAAAACTAGCTCTTTTGATTATTAAAAAATCATCGATATTTAAGGTTCAAGATATTCTGCATGCATCTAGTTTTTTCATCGAATTGTTCAAATTGTTTGAATAATACGCATACAAGCGCAGTTGGACGATATTATATTCAAATTGAAAGTAAATGTTTCGATCGACGAAAAATGATGTTGCTGAACTATAAGAAGATTTTTTTTTGCTCCTTCTTCAATATCGCAGGAGATTCAACTTTGTTATTCGAATGTAAGAGGAAAAGGTATTCGCGCGTTTGTCGAAAGTACGGCAAGCTAGTTTCATAAGTTTCGCTGAAGCATCGTGCTCCGGAATGAAATTTTCCAAGTTGTATCGTTAGATAGCTCAAGTGTTTCGCTCACTTTAAATGATATGAATATTTTTCTGCTCGATCTCACTTAAAATGCTATCAAAAATTACATTTCGTACATATATATAAATATATGTGCAATATATATATTATTTAAAATGCAATATATATATATATATATATATATATATATATATATATATATATATGTATATATATTGCATTTTAAATACAATATCAAACATTGTAAGAAGATAATAATATTTAATGGATACATTATTCAGATCAATATTCATAAAATATTATTGTTGTTTAATGGGTATTTGCATATTCATAACAATAATAATAATAACAATAATAATAATAATAATAATAATAAATTCGTAACAATAATAACATTGTTGCGGTTGTATCTTTCAGCCGAATTGATGCATTTGCAGCGATATTGAATTGCGTAATTGCAAAAAGTCATATCGTAAAGTCCACCGGCCGAATAGAATTCCGTCCGAATAAACAATTTACGGGCACTCTGGCCGTAAGAGGATTTTTAAGATTACTCACGAGAGCACGTAAAATTTGGGATCTCGCCAGGCGCAGTAATTGTTCGATGGCACGGGCTTCACCGTAACAATGTGAATCTTCGGGCCGCTCGATCGATGAGTCGAATTGCCCTCGCTTTCGACTCTATCAGCGCTGGCCCTTAGCATCGAGGTCAGGGATACGCGATCGCATGTACCCGGTAGACAGAGACCCAAAAACACCTGACGTGTCTGGAAAAAAGATGAAACGGTGTCGTTAGAGAGGGAGAAATATTCTCTCTCTATTCCCTACGAAAGTTATTTGATTAATAAATCTTGTTGCAACAGAGAGAAAGAGAGAGAATTTGTTTCCTCGACATTTTAATGCCTCTCTATTTGTCGCAAACAGATACTGACCGTATCTAAAAAAAATAAAGATTTATCTAAAGATATGTCTCGTTTTATCACAAAAAAAACTGACAGAGAAATGCATTTTTCGAAAAATGGAACACGTACTCGCATCCTTTACGATGCTGGTACCGTATATTTCATTCTGTTTACTTGGGTTTTTACACATAAAAAAATAGCGATGAATATATTGCAAACTTTTTTCGGCGAATAATCCAATCTGCCGGTAAATCCTTTGTCCAGCTCAAAAGAATTTTTTTCGCGCAAAAATACAGTGCCAACGGTCGAATTCGCTGCAATGTTCGAGATTATAATCTTCGTTTAGGCGCGTCGACGTATCGATCGCGCAGCAGTGGGAACGGGAATCTCTGGCTACGAAAAAAAACGCAGTTTCCACTTTTTTATTTCCGTCGGCTTCTGGCGTGGCGCACCGCGTGCAATTTCATTTTCTCTTTCTTTTTTGCTCCCCCGACGCAGTCGATAAAACGAGAAGACGGTTTTTTTTTAGCTCTAAGTGCTTTTATTGAATTTAAAACTCCTAGTTCTGGATCGACGCGACCTGCCTTTTTTTATTATTTGGCGGATAATTTGTATCCCGCATCGAGAAACACTGCATGAATCACAGTATGCAAAACGTGAAATGACTTAGGAGGGAAACTCCAGTAATTAACACATAATGATATCGCTTAACTTTGCAAGAATAATAAGATTAGAAACAAACCGGTTTCCTACTGCTTAAAATAGTGCTACTTAGGAACTTTGAGCAGCAAATCACACACATTAAACAATCTTATTAGTACAAATAGAAATTTTATTTTGCTGGTCGGAAATTAAACTAGCTTGCCAGCTGTTATTAGACTTTTGACTTAACAAAAATCCGATCAGACTGCGTCTTATATTCTCTACTATTTTCGGATATTTATTTTAAAGAGATCTTGAGAGAGCTTTTGTCATATTTGAATTTTATTCAGTTTCCATATATTAGATAGTAATGTGTGAGATTATAAATGGATCACTGATCAAGTTTTTTAAATATACGATATATACATAACATTTGTTCATATATGTTTAATTTATTTAGTTAATAATTTTTACAAATTTGCCATGCTTATTTATGTAAAGTTACAATTTAAATTTAGAAAACTATTAAAATTTTTTATAATAAAGAAGAAGAAAAAATTAAGAGCCTAAATATTATATTATGTTTTTGTAATTTTAATATAAAATGAGTTTATATTGTCTTTCTCTCAATTTCGAATAATCCGATCAATCGACTTAATAAAAAGTTTTAAAGTTCTATCCTTTAAAATGAGAGTCGGACTTTTGAAAGAATTGAAATTTTTATATGAATAGTTAGATTATTTTTTTAAAAATATAGAGATTTTCTTTATAAATTATTTATTTTTTTAATAAATAACTTACAAGAATAGATTTTATGATTCACTTTTTAAAATAAAAATTATAAACATATTATATTACAATAAAATATCACAAAAATACTCAATCTAAAGGATCTAAAGGATTTTGGAGAAAATTAAAAGTAAAGCTATTTAAATTATTGAAAACAATAAGATATGTATAAATAAGGCTTACATATATTTCTCATGTATATTTGTAAATTTTGAAAAGTATAATAATTAATTTAATAATAAATACTATTGTATATTTTTATATATACACTGATTAGATTACATACTGATATATAAATTACGTACCATACTGTGTAATAATACATATTAATTTTTTTTCATTCTTTTCATATATAAATGCAACGTAATTTTATATGTACCATATTCTATCCTCGTAAATTAAAAAAGTTGAAGGTATTTCCAATATTATTTCCGTACTATTATATAGAATTATTATGTGAGTTATTTATCAACCTAGCTCATAACGCACTGTTTCATTTTATTTAAATTGATTAATTCACAATAAATTATAATACAAAATACTTATATATATAAATCAAAACTCTCTCTTTCTCTAATCCGGATATAATCATGAGTGCCAAGGATGAGTAGAAAATATGGATTTCACAAATATATGCTAATAATGCGAAATTTAATGCTCGAAAATTTGTTTCCTGTATGTTTTATAAAAACATATTGCTATTAAATAAAATATATTATGAATTATTTATAATACAAGTATTTAAATAATACAAGTTTATCATTTAACTCAAACGTCAATTCAACTGTCAACTATCAAGCAAACTTGTGATTAGAAATAGACATCTCTCGTATCTATCTTGTTAAAAGTGAAGTGACTACATAATTGATCATTTATTATCACACGATTACGTTTCGATCTTGCGCCACTGTCATCGCGGCTAAACGCGAATTATTTACGGTGCTACAGTTATCTAAAGTGATACGTGCAAACAAATGATTGATGAATAATCCGATAAACGCGCGATGGTTTCGTCAGCTTGCGTTTGGCACCGATGCGCGCTTAATTAATTCCTGCAGTAGTTTATCCACAATCGCGGTGCACTCGAGAATGCACTCGGAGTGGTGAAACTGTCGTCGAGTAGTAAATACAGTAATTCACAAAATGCTTCTCTTGTCATAATATCTGCTTCGTTGCTCTCTGTTATATACAATGTAATCAACCGTGGCGATGATAAAATTGTAACAAGATATGTAGATATGTTCGATAGAGAAATTGGAAAAGAAAGCAAAATTATCCCCGTAAATTGCTTGCTGATATATTTTATATATTTTAATCGCATAATTAATTGTATCAAGTCTAAGAAATATATGTATTTATTATTTTTATTAATATGTATATAATTATATAATTATATATTATAGATTATATACATAAATAAATAAGAAAAATATTGTAACAATTCGCGGGAATATTTTTGGCATCATTTCTCTGTCGAGGAATAAAAATGTAAAAATATTTCATTGTAATACGGAGGAAGATACAAAAAGAGCCGAAAGTGACTTACCGAATAATCGACTCCGTTCGGGAGATTTAAATAAAACCTCGCAACGTGGAATTTGAGAGGAAATGGTGGCTGCTCATCGTTGTCCGTTACGTTTTTTCTGTTCGTGACATTGAGCTCTTTGCAAAGAGTGCTCGAGCCCAGCCAAAAGTTGTTGCCAAAGTAGAACTGCGAAGAGTAGCGGCCGCTCGCGTCCGACACTGAAAAGAAAAACCAGACGAAGTTGAGAAATATATTGTCGATCATCGGAGCGGAATGAACGAGATAAACGTGCGTCGCGCTGTCGCACGACTCTTCTTATCGCGTGTCTCTCGAAAGAAGAGATCCTTCCGTGATCGCCGGATGTCGCGAGACGAGCGTATGCGACGACGTGCGAAAAATTCGCACGAATTTCGCGTCAACGAGCACGCCACGTTCTCTCCTTCGAGAGAACTCTCGAAATCGCTCCAGATACGATCCGCTTCCCGGATGCTGCGCATGTTTCAGTACAATTTGCCTTTTTTCCCTCCGTCTTTCTTTCCATCGTGAAAAAGAATCGCTTTACAACCGTCCGCACTAGAGAATGCAATTTCGTAGCCTCGAATTACCCGAAGGACCCAATTACATGGACTGTCGACGGAAGGTTCATTGTCAGTTACGTAAAGCGACTGACTTGGACTGACCACGAGAATAGAAAGTGCATCGGTCGAGTTGCATATACCGATATTGGCGTTGGATGAACACTGTTATGAGAGAACGTAACAGCGCGTGTTCCATTATCGCGAATGCGATCAATTTTGTGCGATAATCTAGAAATTAGTATTACGCAAATAAATACGTGCGGAAATTTTAACAAGCCATATCGTAAACGGCGATGAAATAGAGTTTCGACATGGACGATATATCTCCCGATATGCGTTTATGCGTTGGAAGATGATTTGACTTCTCAGAGAAAGTTCAATTCTTGGACTTTTTATAAGCCATTTAATTTTATAATCTGTGTTTACATATATTATTTTATTATGCGGCCGGGAAGAGTTATAAAGTTTCAGTATGAAATTTGACTTTAGGTCTCTGACTTCTCAGCGAAAGTTAAGTCGTTGGGCCTCGTAATTTTATAATCTGCCCATATATGTATATGATTTATTACGTGGTTAGAAAGAGCTATAAAGTCACTACGGAATTGTTTTGAGCCGCAAAGCCACATTGCACTTTGGCGAAGGAATTTGCAACAATGGCGTAACGGCGTCCGACGGATTAATGACGCCCTGGCTTTAGGAATAATGCCTCGTCATTGCATTATGACAGCTACGAGATCGGGAGACGTCGAGAGAAATTGCGTAATGCAAGCTCGTGGGCCATTTGGAAACAATCCTCGCGACAGCGACACAAAATCGCCGATGCAACTTTTTATTGCCTGCCGCGCGTCGACTTGATAATTGCTCAAGTTTATTGCCCCTGCTTGTTTCACAATTGCATTGCATAACGTAATTATTTTCGTTTGATGTAAAACTAAATTGTGGATCGACATAAAAATATATTTTAAATCTTTTTCGCGCTACAAGACTCGCGTCACATTTGCCATCTCTTCCATTATATTAATTACTCCAATTAGCTTTCTATATTTTTTTCAAAATTTCCCCATGTAAATAATGACATCCCGCAAGGGATAAAGTGGAGCCTCGTTAATAGAGTCAGGGACGAAATAATTATCCCCGACAATTAGCGTCGCTTTCTAAGCATAATTGCCTCGGCTCGTTTTCGAACCGCGCTGTCACATGCGCCCGGATCCGCGAATGGTGCGAAGATGCACCTGTCGCGTGTCGCGATTGCAGTTTCGCAATTTTCGCGTCGTGAAACGGCGCGGTGTGATTGGCCTCTGGCATTTGCATCCGTCGACATTATATTGCGTTGGTATATCGATAATACGGATGCAACATTCGCGCGCTCCATGACCGGAAGTCACTATAGATCATCGCAGGTGACTCCGCAGCCTCGCAGCCTCTAACACCGCACAGCTGCGTGTTTTCATTGCGAGCCCGATTGCGCTTCTCAGGCCTTTCTCAGCTTTCTAAAATCACGGGTGGCACCGCACGAACGATAATTCTCTTCGGCGACTTTGTTATTATTATATGATACTTGCGCAAGATATTTTTATTAATATGCTCCTTTCTTCTGCCCCTCCCTCTTAATTTAGCCACGTATGTTATATCATTATATAATTAATTTTTGTTTTAAATATCATCGTGAACGATAGTTCACGATGATAATTTCTTACAATTGCTGCATCATTGAACATCGCCAGAGGGTTCTCGAGAAAAATTTGCTTGTGCAAATGTTGGGAAGGAAATCTTGCGCTCAACCGGAAATATTACCGAAATATCGGAAATTTCGAATACAAACACAGTGTGTAATAAATATCTTGATGCGTGTTTACATTTTTATCTCCTCCTTCAACTCGTGTTTCAATTTTCACAACATGTATTTATTTATCCTCGAGTCTGAGAAAGAGAATTTATTTATAACATGAATGGATTTATAATTTAGTAGAAAAGGGCTAATTTTATAATTAAATTAGTAGGAAATATATAACACGATTTGTATAAAAGATATGAAGAATGTGTAAAAACTTTTGAATTTTAAAAAAGACAAAATAATATTTTTTAATTGATACGTAAAGTTCTTTTTAGAATAAATTTTGACTCGCGAAAACAACTGTGCACTTCATTTTGAATTCAAAAAGTCCCGAGTTCCGGGTTTATGTGAATATTTCAGCGATTCATTTGCACAACTTCAATGTTGATTTTCTTCTAAATCCTGTTAAATGTTATGTTCGAGATAGTAGCGGCTGAATTTCATTTTCTTTTGTGACATTCGTGAAAAACGTGTAAAGATTCGCGATGTAGTACATGCTGTAAAATGTCAAAGAGTTTACTGAACTTAAACTGTAAACTAGGTCGAAGCATCTCGATTATTACAAGATGAGAAGTTGCAAAAGTTTCATAAAATAATGAAACTTTTAGCGAGCCATTCTTAACTGACAATCATATAATAGTCGTGAATCTAATTGAACTTACAAATCTTATATCTTGACATAAAATCTCCAGATATCTTATCTTATCTTACCTGAATATTCACCGATCAAAAATATTTTCTTAAAGCGATGAATTATGATTTATTGTTAAAAAGTCGTATTTTTTATCACCCGTAAGACTTGTTATTTATTTATTGAATTTATAATTCCTAATCATTCTTTTCTTTTTTCTTTCTGTCATCTCATTCTTAAAAAGTCGTTATTTATTATTCTCATTAAAATCTCTTTATTCAGAGTACGAAATGAAATAAGGAATATAAATTATTCTTAATATATACAACCGCGATGATTACCATACTCTCTGGTATATTTAAATTACTCAAGTAATTTATAATGTGGAAACATCTAAAGGGAAGAATCTCGGAAATTTTTTTAATATACTTTGATTAATCAGAATAACTTACTCTTCGCGGCCCAGAGTTTTCCGTCTGTCAGCGCCTCGAGAAATCTTTCCATATCCCTTCGACATTCATCCTGAAGTTTCCCAGGTACTCTGGCCCATCTAAGAGGATCGTAAAGATCAGCGAGCCATTGTATACTGTTCGCTGTTTTTTCGAATTTTTCTTTCATGAAATCGATGTTGAGGTCCCGATGCTTCTCCTCATTTCCCTCGAACATTTTCAAGTAGTTCTTCCAATCTAGCTCCGGATTATTCTTGCTGAAGCCAATTAAGGGCTTCCTAGATTCATTCTTCTCTTCCTCGTGCTCCGTTGTATTAAAGTTTGATGTCTTTGTCTCGATCGAAACGAACTTTTGCGGTTTACTCAGCTTGAGGATGTTCGATTCCTTTTCCGCGAGAATCCCGTAAGCGAGAAGTAGAATCGCGAGAAGATAACTCGATGAATATGCCATGTTACCTTCGTTTATTAATAAAGATATGCAAAATTCACTTGTGCGTTGGGAAGAAACGATCGACTAGATTTTATACAGGGGATCGAGCTCATCGATTTCCGTCATTAAGTTCCCCGGATACCGTCATCTTAACACTCGATGAAATTCCTCCGAAGGAGATGGTAATACCCTAGTTGTAATGAGTGTTTACTCAATTGAATTCTCGAGCATGCTTGAAGAGATATGCGAATGCGGGAAATGCCGATTCGAAATGCAGAATTTGGGGAATCGCGCTTGTTCGTGCCGCTGATTTTGCACGAGCAAGCACGTGCAAATTCGCTCTCGAGACTGCAATGGTTTAGCAAATAAACCAACCTCTCTTGGCCTACTGCCGTAAAAGAGACAATAATTGTAGAAAGTCGTTTCTTTATATAATGGTCTACGATACCGGTAACTTTTGAAATATTTAATATAATCGATAGTTAATGTTAAATAAGTGTCGTATTTAAGAAACCTCTGTGTCTTTCAATATATGTATATATTAATAAAAATATTTTATATATTTTATAAGACTTTATCACTTTTTGTCTCGGTGTACAATATATTTAAATTAACGTCTATTACGTCAGGCGTGTTTTTAAAAGTTCACTATATCGATTAAAAAAAAAAAAAAAGGAAAAACTTCGAAGTGATGTGAATCGCGTTTTATCGTACAAGAAGAGTCTGTCAAATCTCACTTTGCGATCGCACGACACGCGCACGTTTTTTTTCACTGATTGACGTTGACGAGAGAAAAATCACGGGACTAAAGGGGAATAAAGGAAGGAAGTTGCCCGTACATATGATAGACTAAGGATCACTCACTGAATGAAGCGAATAAAGTCTGCAGCAGTGTTCGCTCGCCGGGTTTCCCTTTCTCTTACAACGATGCACTTTACCTTCGTAAATGCATTTCCTTCTCCGAGTCGCAAAGAAATATCGTGGCTTAGGCCAGTTTTTCCACTGTGCTCAGTAGAAGACTTGTCGAATCGAATAATTATTTAATATAATAATATCAGCGGAATATTATATCAGCTGTTATCTTTATAAATATCTCTTGTTATAAAATACTTTGATGTAAATCGCGCTTTAAATTTCTCATGAAAGTTTGATCAAATATTTTGCATTGTGTAATATCACTATAATTTCTCGGATAAAAACGACCACACACGCTTCATTTCTAATTATTAATCAGCATTTATGGTAATAAATATGGCTTTACGTAATTGTAATAATAATGCGGGATATATCACGCAATGACATATTACATAGACGGATATAGAGACTTGCTTATGTAAAACGACAGTTTACTTTTCAAATTTGTCTAATAAAAATTTAGCTTCTGGTCTCTCTCCTCACCTTACGCTTTAACAATAATTATTTTATATAATAGATTGCGCAAAGGCAGTTCGTATTTTTTTTTACTAGATAAGTATCGCGAAAGATATCCACTTTTCAACAAGTGTCCATAGTTATCCATCTATGCATATGTCTTACACATATAAATTAGCGAAACGCTTAATTAGTAAAAAGGATAGCGTGTGGGTTTAATTCTCGAGACAAGCAGCTCGGAAACTATTTACATTACGATGCACATAACTGCCTGTTACATAGGGAACGTTCGAGTGGTTCAATTACGGTCAATCCAATAATATTGTTATTATTGGAGTATTAATTGCCTATTACGTTCTATGTGTTACTTGAGGTTCCCTCGTCCGCGCGCGTTTTCGAGGAAACGGTATCATGATAATTTCACCATTACATATTAAACAGATCACGTTAATGCCGAAATTATTTAGCGGGCGGTATTGAATATTTAATTATTCGATCAATATTTCATGCTCACGAAGCGTTTTGAATATCACAGATTGATATAAAAACCGAACATGGCTATATTTAATCCTGCGAGAGAAAAAGAGATTCTTATTAATGACAGCTTCTCGGGTACTCTTGACTTGGGAGGGTGTCTTGTCGCTTAAAATAATAATAAAGTAAATAAGGGATACGAAGAGGGTAGCATGATTGATCTCGGTCGAGATTAGCGGCGAACAGGAGCGCGTCGAGCAAGAGACGGGAATCGATGAGGCGAACATTCTTCCAGATAGCATGGTCTGGAAAATAGTGAAAAGAAGCCCGAGGCGTGGAGGGAATTTTCTTCTTGAGAGACATCTGGCTTACTCGGCTGTAAACAGGTGAAATATGAGTCTGGTATCCGAAAGCAAGTGTTAAGCTTTTTCCACTTTACGGAGACCACGAGAGGCAGATACCGCTTCAAACTATCTTGTACTAAATCGGTTCGTGTTTTTTCTTCTTCCTTTTTTCCACTTGCTCGACACAAAAATTTAAGCTTTTAAATACTTTTATTTCTTTCTTTTTTTCGTTTGCGCGCATAGAATTTTTATCGCACCATCGGAAGAGAGATGAACGAGGGGATAATATTAACCGCAGAATATTAGAATGTTTTCTGCGATAAGCTGTCCTGTACGCGATCTGTATCGTACGAAGTAGGTTTTATACATTTTTCATCTTCCTTCTTTCGTATTGCGGTGAATTGATGACGACCGAGACTCTCGCGTCTCGGATGCAGTGGCCGTAAAATGTGTGGCGATGCTTTACAAATCGATTTTCACTACATAAGCGGATGTTCTTCCGGTCGCTTCCCGAGTTTTGCAAAATTCATCGAACCGTTGTAAGCATTTCACAACGCTATATAAGCGAGTCGATTCTTATTGATTTCCAAAAAGTTCAACGAGCTCATAACTATTCATAAAAGATGCAGAAAGAAGAAGAGCTAAAAATTAATTTCTTTCCTCGGAAAGAATTTATTAAATAATTATTCGTGGCCGCGGAAAGTATATACTTTCGATTTCTTCATTGCTATTTCTGATTTCCATATTTTGCTGCACATGTATCAGCATTAACGTTTCTTATTTTCGGCAAACTCAATAATAAACTCAGTAATAAACGCTGTTTTAAAAGAGAAAAATACTGAGAGGAGAAAGAAGTAATTACAATATATCGATATGTCGCGATTCCCGAATCTCCTTATTTAAAAAAAATTAAGTAATGGAGCCATCTCGAGTGGTTTATATTCTTTTTAATGTTAACGTTAAAGCGTGTAAAAAATTGTTACGAACTTTCAACCACTCTCACCGATCATCATGCGGCGTCCATCGGATTCTCGTGTCCCTCGGTTTCCAAAGTTTCTCCGAATTTCTCAGCCCGTCATTCTTCATCATCGGCGCACCTTTATGCTCTCATCTCCTTCTCTTTCTTGGAAACAACGTCTGACAAGATCCGGTTATGGCTTATGCAACTGAGCTTTCTACGTGATCGACTGCATACATGCGCGAATTTCAACCGGTCCTCGCTCAGGAAGCGAGGGAGATCGATTTCGAACTTCTTGCTTTCGATTCATCGCGAAAGTCTTCGTACACATTATGTTGATGTTAAACAGTTATTCTTTCTTTTTTTTTTCTCTTTCTCTCTCTTTCTTTTTTCCTCTCCCTTCCTCTCTCTCTCTCTCTCCCTCTCTCTCTCTCTCTCTCTCTCTCTCTCTCTCTCTCTCTCTCTCTCTCTTTTTCTTTATATATACATATAATCAGATAGTATGATATAACCAGATTATCTTATATTGAAATATTTATATTTGAAATACTTCAATTTTAGTGATAAAATCATTGATTTAAATCATATATATGAAACATAAGCAAAAAGAAATTCGAATATTTATATTTAAAATAGATAATACAAATAGAAATAATTAAACTATTTGGAAATATTTCTTGTAAAAAATTCTTATATAGAAGCAAGATATGTTTTGTTGACATTATATATATATATTAGGTATCACATAATATTATATATTATTAAAGGTTAAAATAAATGACGGTCATAATTCTGAATAATTGTGGACAGTCGAGAAATACAATAGATATATACTATGTATCAAGGGGAATCTACGCTATTTTGAAGATAAGTAGTGCTCAGGGGAATCCACATTCTTTCGCACTCATATTATATTGATTATAAGGCTTCTAAAAGACAAAAGTCATATTTTTACTAAATAAATCTAGGCTTAAGTTGAAAGAATAAGTTATTTAATAAAAAACTAAAATTGTTTTAATGATAAAAATTACAGATTAATTTATAACCGTCGCGTACATATTAAAAATTTATGTTGTATTTAAAATAGCAATTTTTTTTTTTTTAAATTAATTAGAAATATTGTTGTAATTATCTGGCATTTTATATCAGTGCTTATGAAAGAGAATGTTAGGTAAAATCAGGCAATATATTAGTACAACTGTTACATGCTAACGATGCGGAACGCACGTGGAGTATGCCAGTCTTTAAATACGGAAGTGAAAGTCAGCATATCGAGGGAAAAGCTTTCTTTGTTGAATATAAAGCGCGCCTTCGTTGAGATCTTCTCTAAACCAACGTTGGAAAGAGGCATATCTGCAGTCGGTTAAGCAAATACCACATTTTGTACATTATTTTCTTTTCATAATATATAAATAATAATATATAAATAATAATATATAATTTTAATAATATATAAATTATAAAGAAGTTGATAAAAAAAGATAAAATATAAATTTTATCTGTGAAATTAGAACTAAATTAATCATTTAGCATAATAGTTATTTTATTTTTATAATATAATCTTATTAAATATATATATATATATATATATATATATATATATTATATTTAATTATATTCTTTCCTATTTTAATATATCTTTCAAAAATCTTTTCTGATATAAATATTTTGTATTTACATGTATTATATAACAATATTTACACATTATAGTGATAAATTATCCTTAATAAATCATTAAGTTACAGTTTAGTTACAGTTTAAAAATGCAAGATAGAGAGTGCAGTTTTTTTAAATAAAAGATTGAATAATTAAATTGAATAAAAGTTTTGTTTCCCAATTGTAACATAATAAATTATTTAACGTAAAAAACTACCGGAAAGAATTACTTCTCTTTTGTTTTCATTTTTGAAACAGTTTTTTTAAACATAACAAGCATTAAGAACTAATTATAAAGACAAAGAAATGCAAGAAATCTTGGCAATAATTTTTATATATACAATGTATATACAAATCTTAGAAATAATTTTTATATATACTTTTTATTATTTAATATTATACATTGATATTGATAATAATTCTTATTTATTGTAATATTGAAATGTTATTTTGATACACAGCAACAATAATTTTCTTGTATTTAATTTCCTTTAATTTATTTCGAATTTCAAATACATACTTAAGCTTTGTTTACGCAACCGACTGTCAAGTCAGGATGGCCGAGCGGTCTAAGGCGCTGCGTTCAGGTCGCAGTCCACTTCTGTGGGCGTGGGTTCGAATCCCACTTCTGACAGATTTTTTTGTTTTTACATATTATAAAATAGAATAAAACATTTTTGAATTACAAATCTTTGCAATAAAATATATTTTTAATTTTTATTTTATACGTAGGTAATTATCGAGTTGCAAGAATGCAAGCAGTTACATTTAGATTGCATATTTTTGTTTCAAATACACGACCAATAATTAAAATATTATCGTATTTTATTTTCATTAAAATATAAAAACATTTCTTCCCACTCAAAAAAAGCAGTACAAATTTATAAATGTTGAGGCTAAAATGTGTTTATAAATTTTGAGGCTAAAATGTGTTTATTTTTTATAAAAAAAACATGTTGATATTCATTTCTGTCCATTACTAGGGATTTCCTAAAACATTACAACTTAAAAGCCTTTCAATAAAACATATATAGTACAGTTTTTGTACTGGTATTCTCATGAAACAACAATATTGCGTTTTTTAGTCAACATTTTAATTTTTTATCCAGTACAGAAACATTGTGAGATATACAAATATATAGTGCAGGTTTCCGCAATTTGACAAGCAGGAAATTTCTTTTTTCGGTTACTCTATATTAATAAATAAATATCTAATTAATATATATATTATAGAATTCTTTATTACATAAATATCTCTTGATGCAGAATTCTGTTGAAAAAACGATGGTTAATTTTAATTCGCCTAGTAATTAATTAATCTTACGATCATTGCTACGATTATTTGTATCATGATCTTTATCTATTTTGTCGAGTATATCAAGACGTAAAAACGAGCCAACGATGGAACGAGCTGTAGATGCAGCTCTAGTGAATCCTCCCTCTAAAGAAGTTGCACTACTGCTACTTTTAGCGATTTTAACTGGTTTCTTCGTTTCCCAAATATTCACTGCGAACCTTAGTTCGGCCTTTAGCGCTTCTCCTGGTGTAATCTGTACAAAAGTAATTAATAATTCTTTAGCAATAATTGTGTGTAGCGGCCCTAATTGGCATATTAAATTTAAGTCTAACGTATAATAAGTTATTCTTGTATATATTTTTGCATCTTATTGTCTTACAATTTAATTTACGATGAAAAATAATGATAAATCTTGTTTTTAAAACAAGATTTATCATTATTTTTCTCTTCATCGCAAAATTAAATTCTATTATATACGCATTTATCATTTTTATATTAAACATATTTTTTTTTAACATTATTAAAGAAAATAAAATATTTATTCCTTTCATGCGATTATTCTAGAATTTTAATTTTAAGCGATACAGGAAATATAATGATTGGATAAAGGGAAATCTTACTTTTTCTCTCACTGCGACGTCTCGTACATTCCAAAGGAATTCAACAATAGCGAGGATCAACGAGGCACCGCAACCTAACATTAAAACAAGAAAGACGCCTCCAACGTTTGCCATTCCTAGTTCGCCAGTATTGGCAGTTTCTGTATCATCCGTGTCGCATAATCCGCCACCCTTTTCTCGCCACCAGCGTGTCTTTAACTGTTGCAAAGTACCTTTCTCACCTAGCCTCAAGATCGCGCTATTGATTGGTGTTCTGTATGGAGAATCTGCGAAAAATATAAACGATAATTTTTGTTCAAATAAAAATGAATAGAAGATCCTTGTAGAATGTTTCCATTTTGAAATTGCTTTCACACTTACTACGCGGTAAAGCTATGCCATAGCCTTTGTTGTCGATAAGCCCACCGATTTTGTCAATCTCACAATTTCGCTGCATTTGATATTCTATGGTGGTACTCTCCATTAAAAATGCATATAATCCTTTGCTTTTGACAACTCGCTCGACACCTATATCACGATAGAAAATAAACATTTTTAAAACAGGATTAAAATTTAAAACAGGATTAAACAATCCAAAAGGATTGCTTCTTCTAGAATTATGTTCTTTTACTGAGAAACTTTTTTATTAAAGAGTATTAGGAAATCTTTAAATATTTTGATTTAGTTGTTTTATTCTGTGCGAAGATAAAAGATCGGAAGAAAAACAACAAAACTATTATTTTCTTATGATTATAATATCTCACCTTCTTTATTATCCTTAGTGAATACGCTTGGTTTCGTTTCCATCATTGTTGCAAACATCCGTTTATATATCGAATAATTTGAGTCCTAATAATTTGAATCAAATTCATCCACTATTTCATCGGTAATATTACATGTATAAATGTATTAGTTAAATACACAATATCAAACTATTCTTGCAGTAATTTTGAATACAATATTGAAATATATAGTTATAGTTAATATACCCTGAAGAATGATGATGTTGCACCACCTCCAACGGATCCGTACTTAATTTTCGTTTGTCGAGCCAAATCGTCGACGTTGTTGATAGGTGTTTCCATCTGAGCTGCAGTAAGAAAAGCTGCAAGATTAGCTGTGTAGGAGGATATCATGATCAATGTGAAAAACCACCACATGGTCGTGAGCGTCCGAATGCTGGGTGCCCTGAAAGTGATTAATGAATTCTGAATGAATTGTAAATAAATAAGTCTAAAACATGAAAATTAAAATTTATAAAATTTACAAAATTTGATAAATAAGTAAATTTAATATAAATTATTAAATCGCCAATGAAAAAAATATCACGATAAATTTAAAGCACATGTCATCAATCTCGCTACTTTAAATATTTATTATCTATAAGTACACACATAAAATCTATAAGTACACACATACATATATAATAAACAACTTAAAAAGTACATGAAAATTTTAGTTTAAAAAATAATTGTTGATACTCTTAATATATGTATTTACTGATATTATTAAGAAACTTACTTAGGTAAGATATCGCTGCCCTGTTGCATAAGAGAACCAATGGTGAGCCATAACGAATTTTTCAAGTCAAAATTGTTTTCTAATTCTTCAGGTTCGGCATTGCATGGATGCGGATTGTCCCATTCACCAGGTGCCATTCTTTAAAAAGAATTACATCAGATTAATAAAATATTATGTAAAATATTCATTTTTCGATTATCTTACCTTAATACTTTTATATACAAAATAATGAGAGGAATCATTGGTGTAAACAAAACACATAGTTGTTTCGAAGAAAAAAATATGTAATTTGCAATTAACAATTACATTATAATTATTTTTTCTTCGAAACAACTATGTGTTTTCTTTACACCAATTGATTCCTCTCATTATTTTGTACATAAAAGTATTAAGGTAAGATAATCGAAAAATGAATAATTTACATGATATTTTATGTTTTATGTAAAATTAAGAAATGACTTCAAGCCTCATAACTCAAAAAGTACTTAATGAAAACTAACTTAATTATAGTGTTCATCAGCTAATAGATCTTTTTAAGCCATTTTTTTGTGTCTAAATCATTTTTTCAAAAAATTAATATTTTCTGAGATATTTAGCCGTTCCGGAACTTTTGCTCTACTTTGTATGTATGTGTGTTAATATGTTTGGGAGATAATTTTTCTTATCATGATTGCATCTCCAAGATCATATATCCAGAGAGAGGATTAGATAAATAAAATATATAATTTAATCTCACCTTGCTTGAACAAACAACATTATGGATACGGCAAGATATGCTGTCGCCATGTACATCCAGACATCAGTACTCAATGGGCTCAAAAAGGAGAATAAATCTGGGTCCTTCTCTTCTGGCTTACTAAATAAGATGCTTATACCTATACAGTATATAAATAAAGCAGATATAATATTATCATCAATCGTATATTTTTTATATAATCCAAATTAATCTTAAATTTAATTATATTTCGTTATTATGACTTTTTGGCATTTTATTGTAGGCTAATCTATTTCTAAATTTTTTTTAAAATTTAATAAATAATATATATATATATATATATATATATATATATATATATATATATATGTTAATAGTCTTACAAATATTTCGCCAAAAAATATTATTACCGAGATTCATGAAGGGCATCGAAAAATCTACGGCCGATTCACGTGCAAAAGTGATTGTCAAATCGCAAATTGCCAGATCGGACTTCTGCAAAAAAATTACAATAAATTAGTCGAAAAAGGAAAACAAAATAGAAGAAGCAGATTTGTCTATTTTCGTGAAAGATGGAAAATGTCGAAGGTACTAAATAATAGATGATTGATAGATGATTTTAAGAAAGATATGTTTTTGAAACATATTAATATTTTCATTGTTAATTTATCTTTATATTGGATACGAAAATAATCGATTTAATCGCTTTACATTTTTATTCTACGTCTTAACGGAAAAATTCTTTTACTTTAGCAAGTGAAAAGATAGGTTTAATGTGATTGAGATCAATTTAAACTTTCTTTTATATAAATAGAGTTTTTAGTGAATATAAAATGTCTTACATACATGATCCAAAAGGTGTCTGATTAGACCGTTCCAACTCTTTGTCTTTGGATCGTAAGTGCCTTGTGATCCGGGCACAATCTCAAATTTATATGAGAACCCTAAATCTTTTGCGATGTGTTTGATAAGATCGATACAATAACCCTCGTAATGTTTCTGACCGATTAAAATGGTATCTTCTGATGCATCAATGGCTTCCATTACATAAGGTGCACCCTAAATCATATATATATAAAGAAAAAGAGAGAAAGAGGGAAAAAATTTATATATGTTTTTGAGTAAAATAATTTTAACATTAACAAATAATGCATTAAATATTACGAACCACTATGGTGCTAATTATGAATTCTTTCTCTTTGATAGATTTATATAAATAACTTTCCATTTCCTTCTCCGTTTCAGAGTTAAACTGTAGACCATTTTTATCCCAGAAACCTGTTTTTATTATTTCCGATCGAAAGTCCAGTATTTGGATTTTAAAGTCCCATCGACGGCCATATTCGTCAATATTCATTGCACCTGTTATCTTCCCCATCTTTGATAACTACAACAAAAATTCACTTATCATTAATTATATACAGATATATAATTAATTTAAATTTAATTATATAAGTAATACAAAAATTATCTATTATTATTCATATCTTAAAATTTTAATAAATCAGTTGTATTTTAAGAAGCTTAAAATTAAGAATGTATTTTCTTTATTAAATAATAAGAGAAATATAGAAGAACTTACCTCTCGTATAATACTCGTAATATTAGGTCCCGCTTGATATTTGTCATTTTTCTTGCAAGAAAGTGATACAGGATCAATCAGATTCCTTATAAATTCGTTATCAATATTCCTTGAATTTAAAGTTTCTATCGCTTTTTGCAGCAAGAATACCGCATCATAGAGAATTGCCGAATCTAGCTAGATTGAAATTATAAACAGCCAAGTAACTGAATCTTAAAAGTGACTGCTTTAATTTAAATTTTTTACCTTCTAATATAAAATATTTATCTAATTGAATGTAAATATCAAAATATAAAATAAATAATTAGTTAAGATAGTTATTTTTTTATAACAAACTCGAAATTATTGTAGTTATAATTAAAATGTTTTATTTATAAGATATATTTTTTTATTACTTATCTTAAATAAATTATCTGATAATTTATTTAAGATAATAAAACATCTAAGAAAAAAAACATCTTATAAATTTAATGAATGAGTCAAAAAGACTCTATAAATAATATGTAATTTTTGTTTCTGTGCAGTTTTTCTCAGTATTCTGCGCAACTGCATCAGTATTTAAGGATTATATATGTAGTGAAGATATAAATTTTTTTAATATTATTCATGACAAGTATATTATTTTATTTATTATTATTTATATTGCTACTTAAAAATGCCTGTATTTACCCAGTTAACATCTTCTACATCATTTTCCCTTAAACTGAATCCGGTAATATTGGCGTTGGTACCGTTTCGTATCTCGACAATAGGTAGTTTGGATGCATCCTACAATTTCAAGAAAGATTATTTTAAAAGTAGCTCAGGTTTATATATTTTAAAAGATTTTTAGCTACTTATAAAATTAAAAAATGATATAGTATCACTTTTTTTCTTTTTTCTCGCGACAATATAATTTTTCTTTACACAAATTGTGCAATAAATTCTTCAATGATAACTTATATAATCTAAACAATGAGCAGAAATTCGAATTGTTTATTAAATATTTATTATATATATATATATGTGTGTGTGTGTGTGTGTGTAATTGTTTATTGTTTCTTATAACTCTCTTCAACCTTATTTAATATATTTTTAATTTCTTCTCGTAATCATCAATCGTATCTTATCGGTCTTTTATAACATTATTTAATTAACTTGTATGAATTCTATCAGCATTTTTCACTTCTAGTAGCTATTTTTTTACTTCCTTAATTAAATTTTTATCTTTAAAATCTAAGATTTATAATTAATCTTAAGATTTATATTATTATTACCAAATATGTTATGACAAAATTAGAATAATCTGCAAGTAATTTAATTTCTTTCGCCTGACGGAGAACGTTAATTATCTTTTCCGGTTGAACATCAAGGAGAATATTGGAAATAGACAAATTGCGTATCTCTTTGAGCATTGGGCGATAATCTGGTCCATTGCCCAGTTCCCGAATTGCAACAGAATTATCCTTTGCTCGTTTCAATGTTAGAGCCTTTTGAATGCGCGACAGCCCATCGTTGTTTTCGTAAATTGCAACGAAGCCTTGCCATTTCATCGAGTCGACAGTATCGGCGATAGCCTAGATAATTTTGTCGATATAAAAATTCTGATACAAAAATAATATTATGATTTAACATATTTTACATGCTTTCTTGTTATATATATATTATACGTTCTTTAAAGATATGAATCGCGTTAGATTTAAATTCTTACGGATTATATTGCAATACTTGAACATTAAAAACTTTAATAAGTTTATAATTCATCTACAAAATTATTTTTTTACAAAATTAATTTGTGAAATATTTTTTTCTATGGCAACTGACCTTGCTGACATTCTCACTCTCCGGAAACACATTTATTGTCATTGGATTTTTATCTTCTTCTGCTTCCGTTCTTAATACCTCAGTTTCCCGCCAAACGTATTCGATATGCGGTATTTCGAATCGCGTGGCAATACTTGCGACTATTCCTCGAGTATACGAACTTGTAGGCCCGAAAATAGCTGCCACGCCTTCTTCAAGAAGCTCACAAGCTATACAAGAAAGAATAATAGCATAATAGCATAAAATAAAACATGAAATAAAAGCATTGTATAAATCAGATATTGTTAAAGCAGAGCAAGCATATATTATATGGTCTTACTTTATAGATTTTTTAATTTATAATATTTACTTTGTCTTGAATTAGAAAATTAAAGAGTCTCTGTTGAAATTCAAATCGAATTAAAACAAATATAAGAACATGTGAAGAAGAAAATTTGAGGGATATCGTCTATATTTAAAATTAATAAGAAAACTTGTCAAAATTAATTATTATAATATAATGTTTCATTATTAACATTGATTAATTTTTTGTTACTCACCAGCTGCTGCAGTCCTAAAGCTGTCGGTATTATCATCTATGTACTTGATGACAGAAATGAATTCGAATGCGGGTGCAGGTGATTCGTATTTTGTCTCGGATATTGCTTTTAGAAATGTGGACATATGATCTTCATCGCCTTTGTGAAAGATTCCACCTAACGATGTATGATAAAAGTTCAATAGAGATTGATTTAAAAAAAGACTTAAATATAAAGATTTTTCTGAATTTTAAAAAAATTTCTACATTTTTAACTTATTTCTTTGATGTAAAATTATTTTTCCAATTGTAATACTAATTATAAAATATTCTGTTTATGTAAAATTGTGAAATTTAATGAATGCGATAAATTTTTAACGAATAGATTTATATTCGGTTATTAATGATTTAAAAAATCGACAAATATGCATAATCGCAATTAATTTTGTATTCGTAATTGTAATCCATGAATAATATTCGTTTCACTAATAGCTGACAATCACATAGAACTTGTAATTTACGTTACACGTATTGGATCAATAGTAAGTAACGAATAACACATATGCTGAGTTAGTTTTAATTCGAACATCACTGTTGAATATATATATGTGTATTTCTCATTCGTTTCGTTTAAAAATTAATTTTTTATAAATTGCATTCTTTTTACTCTATTAGATAAACATGTATTATATATGCAGGATTATTTATAATAACTTGTTATAAAAAAAGAAGAAAATCTGAGTAATAATTAATATTCTTTAAATTTTGTTTCATCTTAAATATATCTAAAAGTCGCAATATAAAGCAATATATTAGAATACTTTTACATGATACTAGTAAAATAAATTAATTTTAATTCTTAATTGTAATTTTCTTATTAAATTCTTTTAGACAAAATCAAGTTTATATTATATTATTATAAAAATACTTCAAATTACTCGTAAATAATATTATTTCATCTATTTCTTTAGAGTGTACTTACCTATTTTTATAGGTTTCACGGTTCCATGACTGCATGTTGCTAATATTAATAATGTTGATACAATCAAAAAAGGACGTTGACGTAAATCCATTTTAATAAATGAGCTGCAAAACGAAGATAAATTTCTGCTTTAATTTGTACAAGATTTGTTGTATTTTTTAATTAGAATAGCAAAATTATTAGCGCAACATCAAATATGTTTTTACCTGGACGAAGACAGCTTCATTACTGTAATGCTATAAACTAATTAAGGTGAATCTAGGTGTGTAGAGGATTATGGCATTTATTTCAGATCGCTTATCACATGCAAATAATTTGTGTACTTTCCGTCAGATGGCTTATATCACTAAATTTTTTTATTAATTTTTACGTTTTTATTTTTGCTTTTAAATGTTTCTCTTGTTTAGCTTTCCAAGCTCTTAGTAATTGTTAATTTCTGCTTTTCGATATGTTTTTATACTGTATATTTATAACATCATGCGTAATTTAATTGAATTATTTTTTAAAATATTATGAATTTTATTAAGTTAAACATTGTGAGAACAGAGAGAGTAGAAATAATGTTCATGCACTAAAAATTCCACTAGTTTCACCTGAATACTAGCTATACAAACACATATCAACAACTATATTTTCTCATTCTCTCAATGCGATGCAATGCACTTGCAGTTAGATTGAATGAACAAGTCGAAGTCTCTGTTCAATAGAAATTTCTCGTACTATTGAGAGGAAAAACCGATGGAACTGTCCCGCATTTAACGTTTCGCATCTGGTATGATTCTATATACTGATCTAAATTTGGAGTAGACCATCCTATATATTTTTGGCTTGATAATGGCCACCTTGTCGAGAACCATATCATACCGATTGTCGCATGTTCCTTTCCAGTAGCAAAAAATATTATTATGTACTATCTTATTTAAAAGATTTCTTAATCATTAAATACTTTCATGTGTTGTTAAAATTATATAATACTTTCGAGTCTTTTAAAATTCATTAAAATAATCAAAGATATTTTTTTTCATTACATTTTCAAAGAAAGTTGAAGAAAGAATAAAAGGCCAAGATCGTAAGCAAGCTTTATTTTTTATTATTTCTATTCGCATCAATATTGCTGTAAAAGTTTATCAGCAATTCTTATTTCGAATATTTCTCATTTTATAAATAAAACAAGGAAAAATGTTATATATATTAATATTTAGATAAATTAATGATCAATAGAATAATGCAAATGTATTTCACTACTGTTTTTTTATACCAGGTTTCAGAGCTGTAACAGGAGAAAGAAATTTTAACATAACGAAATTTTTGGTTCTCTCATTGCAATAATATTGAATTACGATAGCAAAGCAAAAAATTATGCGAATTTTTTTTCTATTCTACATTATATTTTCAGACGGATTATTTTTTTATATCATCGTTCAATAGTATAAATTGAAAATATATATTTTTATTCTAAAACATATATAATATATTTAGTAAAACTCAATATAAAAATATTTTGATTTAACATGATGGATCAAAGAAAATTAATATTGAAAAAGAAATTATCGCAATTAACAATTATATAGACGTGTAACATTTTGAAACATTTATATAAGCTCATAATGCAAAACGCACATAAAACATACTATATAATAAAAATCAACGTATCGAGGAAAAAGAATTCCTTTTGTTAATTCTTATTATTAGCGTGATAATTTCTTTTCATCGACATTTCTCTCGTTAAAGATTATTTGCAGTCGGTAAAGCAAATCCCAATGGTGTCGAACACCATTTTTACCGTTGGTAATACGTATAAGAATTATAAATAATTTTAGGAATGAGGCGCTGTTGACGGTTCAAAGTAATATTTGACTTTGTCATAGTTGAAGTTAGTCAGATGTAAACATATAAGTGCAAAAAGTAGCAACGCGTTGACCTTTACATATTTGGTAATGTAATAGTAAGTGTCTTTTATACTTGTTCTTTCAACAATCAAGTAGGGCAGGGGATAAGGACCGACGCGCAGAAAGACGAAAAGATTATTATTCCTCTGTCGTTCGTACATTAAAAATAGTCCATTAACCATCATAGATGGTTAAATTCTTCTACTTTAGCAACCTTCGATTCCATCGAGTCCTCTCAAGTAAAATTAATTTATTTTACATAGTTTTAAAATTTAATACTTATATTATATTAATAGATTAATAGCTCCTTAACAAACTTTATTTATGTACAAAATGTTATAAATTGGAACAGCAGTTATTTTACAAATATTATTTATCAAAAAATTTATATTTGTACGAGAAAATGATAGTCGAAATGATTGAACGATTTAAAGCGTTTTATTCAGAATACAGTCTCTCTGTGAGTATAAATTATAAAATTTTATTTATAATGAAATCTTTTCTGTTTCATAATAAAACGTCGCGAATAATTATGCACTTTATCGTATAATTATTTTTTCGATCGTTTTATAAATCACAGAGAAATTATATTCTGAATAAAAACGCTTTTTAAATCCTTCGATCATTTGCCTATCAATCATTTCCTCGTAAAAATAAATTGTATTATAAGCTTGTGGAGCTTGCAATAAAATTTATATGCATATGTATATTTATATTAATATAAGTTTTTTACATCACTCATATATTTATCCATAAAAGTCATACGTCATACATAATAAAACATACGTATATTCTTTAAGCGATATTTTCATGAAGCAATACATGCTGCTTTGTTTCAGTCAACGTGTTTTAATTGTTTACAGAGCATATAAACATATTGCGACACGCAAGTAAGCACAGGGAGTAACAGTTGTCTCAACAGCTCGACGAGCGCAACGATGTCATCGAGCAAAACGACGTACGTGATTGTAGGCAGCATATACCGTTGATGTCACTTGTCCACGAACGGGGATTCCATCCAGCTCCTTGACGATGGAAAGGAGATATACCAGGTATTTAAACGGGAGTCTCGTACAAGTAGGCAGCTGCAAATGAGCAGTATCATTCAACGCGTATTAAACGGCAAGTGAGATGCGAATCGATATAATCTGAACTCTCCATAAAATTCTCTTTCCTACGTATATTTATGCGCGATGATCTGTTATTTATACGAAGATTAAAATAGCGAAAAAACGGCTTTTATGAATGAGCACTGGAGAAAGAATTCTCGCTTATTAAGACATCCTGTTTCCTTGTTGATGGCTTTACGTATTACTTTTCATTCTTTATTACCGAGAGGACAAATATCCTCGTTGAAAATATAAGTTTAAAATTTTTTTGTAACGCCGCAACATTCTTCATCTCTCTCTTCTCTCTTTCTCTCTGATTATGATATTTCTTTATTTATTATGTGTCCATAATATTTTAAATGAAAATTTCAGGTTTGGAAAATTTTTCAATTTTTTCATTTAGGAAGATTATTTATGCTTGTTTGAAAAAAAAGTTTGAATCAAAATTTTATAGGGAATAATCTAGTAAATATCTATGGACACAAATTTTTAAACTTTTAGCTAAAAATGAGAACGTAAACAAGATATTATATGTTCGACTTTGACACCTTTCTCATGTATATTGTAATTAGTTCGTAATCTACAATTTCTCTTTCTCCTAGATTGCGATTAAAGCTGACACCGATAGAGTAATCTTGTTTTTACAACGCGTAAAAGAATGCGATACATCATTATTACATTGCACTTTGCAATCTATTACAAGAATTTAATCATGCATTTCGATATGCGTTTGCATAATTATCGCGATAAATAGCTTCTTCCACTGCTTTTTTTAATTAGAGTGCACTATTTACAATTTTATTGATTCACCACGCGATGCTGCAGGTTGCAACGTGCGCAAAGTTAGTACTGGGAGAGTCCCAGGTTAGCGGAAATTGTTAATTCTTAGTACCGACCGGCCTGCATATTAGCACTGATTATAGTAGTTTCAGTAATAACTGAGCTTAGAAGCACTAACACGCGGCTGATGCGGACGCATCTATATGCGATATTTAAATCAAGAACCGGAATAAGTTACTTTCCGACTATTAAACAGAAGCGTGGATTCTTTACTCACGCACAGAAGTCCGCGCTTTCTCTCTATTCCAAAAGATAGATCGAGAGATCTTTGATCTCAAATCGCCGCGTCAATATTTGTAACAGGATGTCTACTCTTTAAAGAAATCTGAAATTTACAGAGATTCTTTTATACCTAGAAAAATCAAGGAATTTTTTATTGAAAATCGGGGAGTTTTTAAAAAATTCTCTCTTTGATTAATTTTGCTCTCATATTGTAAATAGTCGATAAGCCAAGTGAGTTATTATTATTTAAAATATGTATATTTATCTCTTTATATATTTAATGTCTCAAATATTAAATTTACAGTACATATTTTTTATTGTTTTAAATAATAATAAAATAAAAATTGTATGCAAGTGAAAAATGCTTACCTTAAGGTTATATATTCAGTTTCTTTACAAATCTAGCATTGGAAACTTGAGAAGATTTATGTTTTCCTTGAATAAAAGACATTGAAAAGCTCATACAAGAAAAACTATTTTTCATAAATTGCAATAAAAAAATCTTTAAAATATTATCTTTATCTGGAATTTCTTAAACAAAAGTAAATCAAGGTACTTTTTGAATAAGATTTGAACAGACACCCTGTTGCAAACATATTCGACGAATGCTTCTTTCTTCGTATTGATCCTGCATAAAGCACATAGAGCACGTGGGCGATAATAATTCCAATGCATTGTGCAGTCGCAAGATGCCGATGCCAATGAATTAGAGACTGCAAAATCTTGCGCACGCACTTGCAAGAAAGACTGCGTGCTTTTTCCTCTCTCTCTCGAATTTTTCGCCCTAAGGTGTTAATTGCAGGCTTGATCATCACCCCTCCCTCTGTTCTCGGGTTAACGCAAGTTTTGTTATATACGAGTATTAATTTTTTTACACGCGCCGCCTCTTCCTTCGCGAATATGGGAAGATGGCATTTTCTTCAAAGCGGCCATTATACGCGTTCGTAGATTATTAGCGGGCGGGCAGAGCGTTATTAGTCGGCTATCCGCCCGAGCATCTATGCCGCACGAACATTTTCAGCGGGACCTGTCAATTACACAGATTTATGATCCCTTCTCCTTCGTCTCGCTCGCTCGCTCTCGTCGTGGCCCTTCTATCCCCGCGCGTAACAACGCTCATTAATACGAGCCGGCGAAGGTTTCGCGTATCCGCCTGAAATAGCAAATAATATTTTTTGATCGATGGTCGTCTTTAATTGCGAGCGACTTAATTACAGATAAATACCTCTGCGTCGATTTATCCCGGCGCTTTGCGTTTCGCGAGCCTATCAATCTCCGTATACTGATTAACCCCTCGAAGACCCCATGATACCACGTGGTAACGTTTCGCATCATGAACTTTGACCGTGTATAAAGATGCTTAATTTTTTTTTACACGACGTACAATGGTACTGTTA